CGGACTGCAACGAAACACTCACAAACATGCATTGGTGGTGTGAAAGCCCTGGCCTTGGACATAGAAGAAAAGGCCAGGGTTCAATCTCATACATGGATGAATGGAGGGGAGGAGAGACGAAGGGAGGAGGAGAGGGAAGACGACGTCAACTCAATGTTTCCAAAAATAGTATCTCGAGATGTCAGAAATAGCGAAAGTCCGAAATATTGTGAATACAGAATCTCACAGTGTCTCAGATATCGATTTCACAATGTCAAGATTCATCTCCAGAGGTGGATGAAATCAGATCCCCCAAGTAGTCCTCAACCTACAGTCTCAATGTTGCTATCCCCCATATTATCAGAACTTGTAACCATCCTTCATATTCGTAGTGGTCCAGTAGGAGTAACCCAGAAGTAGGCTTAGACTTAGTAGGAGGGGGGAGAGAGAGAGAGAGAGAGAGAGAGAGAGAGAGAGAGAGAGAGAGAGAGAGAGAGAGAGAGAGGGGAGGAGGAAGAAGAGGGAGGAAAGGCACTAATTCCCTTCTCGCTGCGTTGTTCCTCCTTGCTGCTGCACTAATTCCCTTCTCGCTGCGCTTCCACAGAGAGAGAGAGAGAGAGAGAGAGAGAGAGAGAGAGAGAGAGAGAGAGGGAGAGAGAGAGAGAGGGAGAGAGAGAGAGGAGGAAGAAGAGGGAGGAAAGGCACTAATTCCCTTCTCGCTGCGCTGTTCCTCCTTGCTGCTGCACTAATTCCCTTCTCGCTGCGCGTCCTCATGCTGGAATAGAGCGCTAATCCTGAAGCCTAACTCGTAGCCTTACCGGTTCCCAGCTGATATAGTGCTGGGTCGGCCTCAGTACTACTGGTGCGTTCGGGTCTGGACCGTTGATCAGGCCCAACGGTTCAGATCCGATTTAGAACTCTGAAAACTGGCACCTAAACTGCGCCGTCGGACGGTCCTACCGATGGACCGGTTCCTGGCCTCACCAACTAGCCGTTGGGTCTGGAGGGGTCTAAATGAGGCCTAACGGACCCTAAACTCGACCGACGGTTCCTAGGCCTACCTGGACCTTGTTGGGACCGGGCCCTAACTGGGGCCCGTGTGGTATCAGTATGCCACATCAGCGCTTGTCTTCCACACCAAGTTCGACGCTCCACGTCAGTATGCACCATGCCTTACTCTCTCCTTCTCTCATATCTGTCTAGTCCTCTCGCCTCACAGTCTGCTTCTCTCACATGCGCACTCCCTGCTACTAACACACTCGTGAGGATCAACTGTGAGTACTACCCACTGCTCTGCTACATCTAGCCACTAGCTCTAAGCTTCCTAGCACTGGCGCAGCTGCCTTCTCAACTGCCAGCACCCTCCTTCCTCTCTCTCATTTCACTTGGCGCTGCTCTCTGGCAAAGCGCAGCTCCTCACATCTGGTGCACAAGTGCACTAGCACTTCCACACTCATGCGAATGAAAATCTGCCGAAATGGGAGGCTGGCCAGTCTTTTGTAGTGTTGGACTGGTCTTGGTTGGGCCAGTCTCTGGCCGAATTTCCTTGGGACCGCATGCCCACTGCCTGTTACTGCGAAGTGTGAGTCAAAGTACCTGTCTCGTGGTCTGCTGCTGTTTCGGCCTTTGGGCCTGCCTTTTGGACTTCTGGTCTGACTTCAGACATGACCTATGGATAGGGACTTGACTGGGCCTGCGACCTTAGCTATCTGTTGAACAGACATGACCCTTACCCAGCTCAAGTTAACTGTTCGCAAAAGACCTGGATGTGACTTTTACAAAGTGACTTTTCGCTTTAGTCTGGACGCGACCTCTGCCTCAGGAGACTTGTATTTTTAAATGCTGATTCGTAACTTCAGGATCTGGCCAACTGGGCCCCTTCATATTGGGGTCTGCATTCGGGGTCTGAATTGTGAAGGCCCTTTCAAAGTAAAGGAAGTAGGGGAGGAAGAAGAAGAAGAAGAAGATGCAGATGACTGAGAGGATGCTACAATAGAGGACGTCAGTGGGGGTGACGGTGATGATGGTGGTGCTGGTGCTGGTAATGATGGCAGTGATGGCGGTAGTGGTGGTGGTGGTGGGGGTGGTGGTGGAGGAGTTATACCTTCAGCAGCAGCAGCAACAACAACAGTCGCTGTATTGGTAGGATGCTGGCCTTCATGCCTTTCTGCCATTCCCGTGAAGTTCACATTGTTTAATGGGGCTGGCGTGGTCTCTGGCTGAGTTGACGTATTGACATTAGAGTCTGCCATGTCAGCAGGGATAACAGGGGAGGGCGGTCCGTCTGCGTTTGATTATGCGGAGGGCTGACGCTGGCCACGGTCAACATTGGTGTCAGGCGATGAGTGGTGGTCTCTTGTGTGCGGTTGGGTTGAGGACCTGCGCACAAAATCAGCTTTCAGGAGTGGGTGAGCAATTGCCTAGCGAACCATTCGGCGAAACCAGTTCGAAAGTCGTGTGACATGAGTTGGTAGCCGGTGTTGTCGGCCACGCACATATGCAGTCCAGCCTCTAGCCACGACACTGGGAGGATGGCCCCTGACAAGCATACGTCGTGTCAGGGAAGTCACTGTCGTTTTGAAGTCGGCGGTATTGTTACATATATGTTTGAATCTTGTTAGTTGTCCCATGCGCACACCTGCAGGCTGATGAGCCGGAGCGTTGGAGGAAGCACTGGGATAACGTATGACAGGGAACGTACGAGGGTGTTCTGTACGTGTGTGCAGGACATCCTGGGAGATCCAGGGTGTGTGTACGAACAAGTTGCTGGGAGTACAGTGTTCGGCCATAGCTGAACGAGACAAGTTTGAATCTGAACTGTGTTTGTGGCTTCGTTGTCTCCGAGCTTTGTGTGGGCGCAAGTCGCCAGCTTGATCATCATCTGTTTGTACGTATGCTAAGAGTCGTGGAAGACGAGTCTGATTGCAGCTGCATGGAACACATGTATATGCCAGTAAAGGCCTTGGAGAGGGAGCAAGGGCAAGTGTAATGACCCGCCAAAAACACAGACTGAGGACACTGCTGATTTCTGGGATTTGCCGCTGGAATGAATGCCTTGCTGAGATTCCCGCATGCTGCTGTGGTTTCCATGTCTGTGTGTGTGTGCATGCCTGCTGGTGTGAATGCCTTGCTGAGATTCCCGCATGCTGCTGTGGTTTCCATGTCTGTGTGTGTGTGCATGCCTGCTGGTGTGAATGCCTTGCTGAGATTCCCGCATGCTGCTGTGGTTTCCATGTCTGTGTGTGTGTGCATGCCTGCTGGTTTGCATGCCTGTCTGAGTGCTTGTCGGCTGAGTGTGTGTGTGACCCGCAAGGGTACTTGTTGGTTGAAAGGCCCCGCAGGACCGGTACTTACCTGTGGCCGTGACTTTGAGGGTTGCAGCGGGGAAAACACTCGAGTAGCGGGGGTAGGCCCGCAACACTTAGAGCAGCGGGGAAAAACACTCAAGTAGCAGGTAGGCCAGTAGCACTCAAGTAGTGGTAGAAGTGTTGGGTACTGGAGGCCGAGCAGAAGAAGACAAAAAGTTGGCATTTTTAGAGGCCCAGTAGCGGTAGGTTAGAGGTAGGCCGGTACCAGTCCAAGTAGCCCGGGTCTAGGGCCTGTCCGGACGATAGCAGAGCCTGCAATGATGTTTCCCTCCGAAAGGGAGGAGGTACCGGTTCGTGGGAGGCCGCTCGGCCTAGGAAGTCACCGCGCAAGAGGCCAGTAGGCCGCTATATCTTCCGGAGGAGCAAGTGGTCCTCCTCATTTGCGGTATGCAAGGATTGGCGACATGCTGCTGAGCCAAGCGCTGGACTGGTACAGCGCTCCCTGGAGGTGAAGGGCAGCTGGGCGCTCAGCCCGGCTATGGCGAGCAGCCCAGCCTGAGGAGGAGGAAGAAGGGGGCGAAGGAGGAGAGTGGCGAGGCACCTACCTGGCTATGGTGGACACCATCTTCATCACCTTGTTGGGCGCTGCATCTGGAAGGCCCCAGTTGGGGTAGTGCCGCACCGAGGAAGCTCAAAGCAGAGTCAGGCATGGCGGCTTAGTCAGCAGCGGCATAGCTGCTTTGGGTTGTCCTTTGGACAGGAGTGCAGCGCCATAGCTGCTTGTGTTGTCCTGTGCACAGAGAGGGGCAGAGCCCTCAGTTGTCCGCCATAGCCTAGGCTTGTAAGAAGTGGAAGAAGGGGGGAAGCCATAGCTATGGTGGACCTATTGTGGTTGTTGTTGTGTCAGCAGTAAGAGGGAACTTCGGATATTGATTCTGGTTCATCCACTCATTATTATTATTATTATTGGGAAGAAGAATCAGATTGGAGAAGTTGAGGAGGAAGGTGGAGAGAGAAGGGGGATTTGTCATTGGTCTTGCTGGTGTACAGCTTCTTCGTCTTCGTCTTCTTCTTCTTCTTCTTCTTTCTCTCTTCTCTGGTCTCTATCTCTTTGCAAGTGCTTTCATTTCTTTCCCAATTGGGTGGCATTGTCTTTCATTGTGAATTTGCACTTTGGGAATGACCAGGATCGTAACACGAGAGAATAAAGGAGAGATTTAAAAGTTTGCCTTGTTGTTTATCCTCCTTTTTCTTCATTTTTTTCTTTCTTTTTGATGCATTTTTTGTATCTTCAAGTGTCTTTCACACACAGAGATTGATGCGAAGTTGTGTGCAGGTTTGCACACGTTGCAGAGTCAAACTGAAGCACACAGAGCCTTCTATAAGCACACTCCTGTATCGGTCCCACTTAACACAGATGCTTGGAACTATTGAAACAGTATCCCGCCTGCAAATGTTGAACTATTCCCTTACTGCAAGCGTTGAGACAGTGCAAGATGTGGGTATCCACTAACAACACAGGGTACAGTGGACAATGGGCTTCACACAGTTTGATACGAATTAAGTGGTAACCTAAACGAACCCAGTCTTGTGGCCGTACGGTACGCCCATGAAGCTCTTGATAGAAAAAACGCAAGTTTGAGTCCCGATGGACACAATAATATTAGTGGTTAGTCCCCTCAGAAAGACACAAACAGGAAAAGCCTCTCTCACCCTTGTCTGAAGCATGGCATGCTCAGGAAGATTTGGTTTCAGCACATCAAGCAAGAACGTTGTTGCCTCCCTGATCATATTGCGCTGCATCACAACAGTTACCAGCATATCAGAAAACACAGGAAAAATGAAGGGCACAGATGTTCAGCTTCTGCTCACTCCACCAACAATCTGCCCAGTCGTACACTTCTGTCCATCATACCTTCTGCGGGCTAAGGCCAAAACTTGTAATGCCCTGAACATTCCAGATAAGCAACCCTGTGCCACAAACTGGACATGGGGAGCAGAAACACAAATGAGCATGACGAAGAATGTGTCTCCTTCTAGGAGTTTAACAACTTGCAGGCAGCCGTAAGGAATGACTGCCGAAGTGTCGCTTCTGAAGAGTACACAACCGTGACTGCATTCAATGCAATGGCCCACAATGAATAGGACAGCGAAGAACACCAAGTTTACACACCATAGGCTTGGCGCCTTTTCGTTGGATTTTCCCCTCTTCCGTGTTGCATTCTTTTCATTTGGACACCCTTTTCTCTTGGACACCCTTTTCTCTTGGCACCTCTCATCTTCTGACACAACACCAGCATTTGTAACCACCACTCCTCAGAACATATGGACGTGTAGCAAGTCCAAATTGGGAATGTCAATGAAGAGACATTCCGGAACACAGAAAACAAAACCTCAACGACATGAAATTTCAAGCTCCGCCCTCGGTTCATGTGTTTTGCTATCCCAAAATCCCCATACAAACATCCTAACAGGCAAGACATTAAACAAGGAAAATAATATCACACATCTTCACATGTCAGCCCTGAACAAGAAAAGAATTTCCCCTAAATCGAACTGGAGTGCCAAGGAGAACCCACAGTTAATCACGCAGGTCTTTGATAGCCTATGCGAA